TCCCCCCCCCCCGGATGGCAGCCTGCGGCAAGTGCAGCCGGGCTGATGGCCGAGTGCTGTGATGTGCCGAGTGTGGGCATTCAGGGCACTCCAAGCCAGGACTGCTTTGCTGTCCCTCATCGAGTTAGACAAGTGAGCGGGGCACCCCTGAGAACTGTCTGTCCGGGGTGGGGGTCGGGTCCCTTTAAGCACAGCCCTCGGCTAGCCTGAGACAGCATCTCCACGCTCTAGGTCCTCCTCTGATGCCCTGCCGGCACTGCTTCCGGCCAGCCTTAACCCCGCTTCAGGGTCCACTCAACGTGGACATGCTAGTTCGAATTGGCAAAACGCTAATTCAAATTCGTTTTTAGGTCTAGATGCGCTAGTTCGAATTAGCTTAGTTCGAATTAACTAATTCCAATTAAGTTAGTTCGAATTAGCGCTGTAGTGTAGACATACCCTTGGAGATTAGGAAAAATGATTTCCGTAGGTGGGTGGGGAAGCACCGGGCTGGGTTCCCTAGGGAGGGGGTGGAATCTCCATCCCTTGAGGTGTTTAAGTCCCGGCTTAACGAAGCCCGGGCTGGGATAATTGAGTTGTGGGAGGGGGCTGGACTCCATGTCTTCTGAGGGCTCCTTCAGACCTGGGATTCTGTGATTCTATCAGCACTGCATGAAACAAACCCCTCACATCCTCAGTCACAGACATCACCGCTGAACAGGACAGCGACACGTTTTCATCTCTGCCTGGGGAGATCTTTCCCACCACCTCCCTGCAAACTTTCAGGCTCAGTTTGCCTTTCCTCAGGATCCCTCCCTCAGGATCCCTCCCTCAGTCCCCTGTCACTGCCTTTGTGCACCCGCTATTGTGAATGCCAGGGGTAGAGAGACAGGGGGACCTCATTTGGGGAGCTCTGCTCCCCCCATTTTTGTATTTGTTTCTCTTCTTTGAGAGTCACCTCCCATCAGAAGGTGGGAGACAGAAGGTCAGTGCAGTCGAGTGTCCCTAGCTCTTTGTTTATCATGATGCACATTTTCCACCTATTTCCTACCCCAGAATGGCCAGTTTAACCAGGTGAAGGGTCATTTTATTTCATTGGAAGCTGGTTGAAACATCAGCTGGTCTTTTGTCTCTGGGGAGCCGGTTTGTGGTGGCTCCACACACGTGAAACATGTCTGAGTACCACCCTGCAGTATCATCTTATCACTTGACCAGACACATCAATTTTATCAGGACAATAATGGTCAGGAAATTATGAGTTTTTGGGTGATAATTCACACTTGAAATAAAATTTATCATAATAAGTGATGAACAACGGGGATCAACCTGTCACAAGCCCTGAGGTAGCTCCCACAGAAACCAATCCCCGAGAACCCCCACACTCCCCAAAGTCCCAGGCCCCCCCAACCCAGCTGTACTCACCAGTCCAAGTCCCAGGGGGCAGGAGAAAGGCCATGGGGAGCAGAAACAAGAAGTGAACCTGCATGTTTGCAGTCAGTGAAGGGATGATGCATCTGCCACAGACCTGCAGGGTTTATAGACTCAGCTTGGGGGGAGGGACTCAAGGGGGCAGGAAACCTGAAGATCACCTTCACACTCGTCCAAGTGCAGTTTCCAACCACAGCCGACCACACAGGTTGGGGGGAAGATCAGGCCACATGTCAGGCCAGTAGCTGGGTCCCTGCACAGCCAGCCAGATGATGCACCATGGGATGGAGAAGACCCCAGTGGGGACGTGTCCATTGAGGTCCAGGGCTGCTCTGGGTGCCAGCTCCCAGCTGGGCACATCTGGGGCTTTTACGCACCTGGGCCCATCACCTCTCAGCTCCCTGCCAGTGTCTCTGTGGGGGAACTGGGAGGGGCAGTGTCTGATCTCAGTGGGGGTTGGGAACGGGGCCCTTTGATCTTTCTCAGGGTGGGGCCAGGTGCAGAGCAGGCATCAGCCCCCATCCCAGCGACCGCAGGGGGAGGTTTTCTGAGAACCCCCTAGGGAGTCTATGACCACATGCAGGGGATGTGGCTGTTTCTGTGACATCCCACACCTGGGAGCTGTCACTGTGCAGAGGGGAAATGACACAGCAGGGAGACACGTAGACCCAGGGGCTAAATCTATACTTCAGGCTTCTTGCACAAAAACTTTTTGCACAAGAGTGCATCCACACTGCCATGTGCTTTTGTGCAAGAGACCACAAGAGAGCAACCACACTGCATGGACCCTCTTGTGCAAAAAGTTCTGATGGGCATTCTCCTCTGCTTTTTCCCAGAGGGGTTTCTCGTGCAAGAAACCCCTGTTGTCCATCCACATGGTACTTTTTGTGGAAGAGCTCTTAGAGGACTAACTCTTGTGCAAAAAACCCTCTCGTCTGATGATCGACTGTATTTCATGCTCAAAAATGCACTTGTAGGGTGGACACTCAGCGACTTTTTGCGCAAAAACTCTGCAGTGCAGACGTCTGGGAGTCTGAGCTTGCAGCTCCCCTCCATGTCGCCCCCGCTCTAACCACTAGACCGCACCAGAGGTGGAAAGTACCTAAGTAGAAATACCTGGGTACACGACTCAAGGACATTTGTTCGATATTTGCACTTGACTCTCGTCATTTCTGTTCGGGAAACTTCCACTCTGACTCAAGTAGCTTTTTTAGAGACTCTTGGACTTTACTTCACTCCCATTTCCGGGCACGCTGAGTGACTCACGACTTTCCGTGCCCCACTGACAGTGGGGCAAGCCCAGACACTGATTGGCTAAAGCAGAACTCATGGGAGGGTTTCCCTGCTTCTCCCATTGGGCAGATTTCAGCCAATGGGAGCAGCAGGGAGTGGCACGGTGTGAGGAGCTACGTACCTGACACCCTCCTTCCTCATGGCCAGTCCCTGCACCCTCATCCATCAGCTGAGCCCTGCATCCTGCCCACCGCTCCCAGCCCTGGTCTGCTCCTGCACCCTCCCCCCCCTCCCAGCCTCTTGTCAT